TCCTCAATTCTCTGTTGATGATTGGGTCCACCACTTGTGGCCATCTCATCCATTTTTCTAGCACTTCTCAACCGTGCTCTGATACCACGTGTCACGGACTAAGCTTTCTCTCAACAAGCGATAAGTCGTGCGACACTTGAATAGACGTTCCCACCTAAGTCAGCCTTCAATAGTTCGATATCTGAACAAATAACCATAAGCCATGGTTAGTCCCAAGCATTCATAATAAAACACAATATATCGAGATCAATCTCAAGCACACACAAGAAGGCACATTCACATCGAGAAAAAAAAAATACATCGAGCCAACACTCGAGACATTCAATCGGAGTGAATTTTATTATAATCGAGAATCATACATTGTGACTTCCCACCATCACCAAGGCCAGGGGTAGCTCTTGGTGGATGGCCTAGGCCCGCATAGCAACCGGTGAGACAGCCCAACAATATGCTGTCGGCTTATCCCCTAAAGAGCCTTAAAGATTTTAGAGCTATGCTACCAGTAACCATTATAATGTTTGAAATGGGGATACTTTTCCTAGTACAAGAGATCTATCTGACCATGACTCTATACATGGGTGGCTCATAAACAACCTAAACCCCGGTCATGACTCTATACAAAATTGGCTCATGACACATATCCGATTCAATTGAAGAAACCAAGTAATAACCAAGGGATTTCCTTGTAAGTTGCTATAAGCACAGATCTTCACAAAACATTAAGAAATAATAAGCAAAAGTTTACGCACCCAAAAAACAAAGGGTTGTTACTTGATGGAATTTTTTAACGTGTTTATTTAGAGTGTATATTCTAAAGTTTTTAATTATTTAATGTATACATGATAATAATTATATAAACTTGCTTGGAAATTTACAGAACTCTATCGTTGGCATTTTTAATATCAAAAGTAAAAAATTGATGATGCAAAAAAGCAAGACAAGACATAAGACCATGTTTTCTTCATTTATAATCTACATTTTAATTATGCTTGATAAAACATTAAGAATCAATAAAAAATAAGGAACAAAACTTTAGTCAAATTGTTGAAGTTTGTGAAATTTTTTTTTTTTTTAAATGATTGAATGCTAATTGAAAATAAACTTAAAATTAATATATCTATATACTTCAATAATAAAAAAAAAAAAACAATTAGAGGTAAACACCTATTTAACAAATTTTGCACTTCATCAATTAACAAATTGCATTTATTGATAGGTTTTAATTTTCAATTTTAATTTTAATTTAATCACTTTAATACAAATTAAAATGGTATAAAATAAAATATTATTACCTCGAATTATACAATCAGGACTCTCAAATATCAATTTTTAAAGATTAAAAATTTTTTAAACTTTAAGAAACTTCATGTAAGTTGTTATATATATTTGTAATACATGTAAAGCAGAAGTTTTCTTTGATGACCCTTTTTTTTTTTTTTTGTTGACCTTTCAATATATTTTGTTTTAGCTCAAATTCAATACCCTCCATCTGTTACCGAACCCATGCAAAAGGAAAATGATACTTTTAGACATTGTTCCAAACTGATTTTTAGTATTACATACTAGGAAATTAAAATAGAAATCTATAGAAATGAGGTTAAATTTCCAGTCAAAGTGAAAATTAAGACTGACTGAACACAATGCTACACTTGACTGGTGAAGTCTAGACATTTGGTTCAAAAATTCAGCAAAAAGTGGGACTGCACTTTTAATTGGACACCGGTAAATTTCAAAATCATACTTATAGTTTGGTGATCCATATCTGTCATAACAGGAGATGATAAACTAGTAATTAATAAGAGGAGCTATGAAGTTACAGACAGACGTGAAAGAAGATAAGAACAGGAAAAATATTAAATGGCATAAGGAGTCAGCAAAGGGCCCATTAGTATTTAAGGCTTCCGTCTTTCAGCTTTCAAAGACTCGTATTTAATTTTGCATGGAAAAAATCTAAATGTTTATGCCAAATATCAGTTTGGACTTTCAATTTTTATATATTATTTTTTATAATATTATAAAACATATTCACATACCCATATCTTAGTTTTTATTCTTTTTAATTGATTCTATGAATCTGAAATTTGAGATGAAAAAAAAAAAAAACATTTAAATACTTACTTTTACTCGTACCTAAATTCGTGGAACATAGAATAAGATAATTATTTATGACTATATGTTGGTTCACCTAGATTAGTTTGTTTGGGATGATTATTAAGGTGACAATTAAGGTGGCTGTGGCAAATCTAATAAACTCCAATTCTAATAGCTCCTATATACCGGTGATTAGTTATGAGGGGTGATAGTTCATTAATAATCTTAATGAGAGTATTCCTTATCTTTTTTTTTTTTTTTCATGTAAGAAATTTGTGTAAGTAGAAACTGAACAAGTCCATTATCCTAGAAGTGAATTACCAGGATAAGCAACTATTAGAAGTTAGATCTGTTAAGGTCACTGAAGAAAAAAACAAGGAAAAAATGTCATAAGAATTATTTCATTTACCTTTATTCAATTTGATATCATGACAAGTTTGGCATGCTATAGGCCTATAATAGCATTAGCATGGATGGCTATTCTTGGCAGGTTACCAACAAAACAGAGATTAGTTCTTGAAATACAGCTTCTTCTGATTGGAATGGTAGCTGTTTTACTTCTAGGGATTCAGGAAGTGGATTCCGGAGATCATTTATTTTTCACTTGTGGACGTACTCAGCAGCTTTGGCAGGTCGGTTTTAAATCTGTGGCCTGCAAAGAGTGGTTCAAGAGTGGACAAGTAAACTTCATTGGGCTATGGAAAAGCTAAAAGGCTCTTTGTTTTCTCTTTTATCAGGCCAATCAACTAATCATCTTGATTTGTTAGCAGATCAGTGCAGTGTAATTTGTAAAGTTAATTACTTGTACCAATATAGTAAAGAAGAGATTTGGGTTTAATCGCATGTCTCCTCTTTGAAATTCAATTGGGTTTCTGGGATACATACACTCACCTGTAGCATAAAGTTCATTTTCTTGGGGCAATGCCTTACTGGTAAATGATAAAGAGGGAAAACAAAATTCATACACAGTAGAGTTAACTGTTAAGGGCACTTGAGTAAGAAAATTTCATGCACTTTGTGCTTCTAAGAAAGCATCAAAATTCTCCCTAGCCTTGCGCAGGCGAGGTGTGATACAAGAAGCAGGTGAGGCAGGATGTGATGTTGGGGATGATGTAGAAAACCTGACAAGGCGAGATGATTCATTGGATTTCCTGCCTGTTGCTCTTGTTGTAGCTGAACCATTTTTCAGGACTCCTTTTATATCTTTATTATCAAACACGAAAGCAGCAGAAACCGGTAAATGTGCATCGTTCCCAAGATGTTTATCAACTCCAGTGGCAGATCAAAGTAAGATTCATTGAGTTTCCATCCTCATCGTGGTCTGGTATTATGATTGATGAAGCCCATGATCCGCATTCGAACTTTTCCAGGGAAACTGTTCTGGATATCTCATTATTCTCCATCACCATTGTTTTGCCTTGTGGGAACAAGCAAAGGGCGCTGCATTTGAAGTCAACTTCATTACCGTCCATCTTCTTACTGCTCTTTCGACGACCATCAGTTTTAACATTGGCATTTGGGATTAAACTGCCATGACCATGATGCTTATCGTTGTACTGAAGGGCGGTTGCATCGTGCAGCCAAAAATGATCAAGTTCATCTGGTGATGCACACGTTCTTCCTTCTCCACAAGACTTGCTTTTCCAAAACTGGTTGTTTTTCAGCAGAGACTGATGATATTTTGTTGCAGATGGGTGCTTATTGACCAACTTGTCAACCTGTCTAGGAGATGCTTGACTTTCGATCAAGTTCTTCCTTGACCGAATTGAGCCAAATCGAGGGGAAGAGGTTGCAGAGTTTGGAAGGCTACAACTTAAGAGCTTGTGCTTCGCAGGTAGCAAAGGGAGAGGAACAGATACAGCAGTGTCACCTGGAGCTGCATTGATAGGAGGTAGTTAGAATTTTCTGATAAGCGGGGTATTAATCGGTGATTTTAATATTTAATAAAATAAATTGATAAATTTAATTTTAATATGAGATAAATATAAAAACTTAAATAGTTTAATTGTGATCACTTATGTATAGGTTTGAATATAATAAATTAATTTTGATGCAATAAATTTAATATACTTAATTTGAATGCAATCCATTTTCAAAAAGATCAAATTCTACTAAATCCATTTCATAATACCTAACCTATTTCCGTACATTTAAATCAAATCAAACGAAATAAATTTTGAAATCTTACTTTTTGGCAATGGAAGACTTAAAAATACATATAATTTTAAGGTTAATATTGAGAACATATATAGTAACAATCCACATGTACCAATGAGTTTTTCACTTTTTTAAATTATTTAATCAAAATTAAAATCGTGACTAAGTTAGATCAAAATAATATTTTTAATTTTAACCATTTTAATCCAAATGTTAAAAATATATCTATATATATAACTAAAAAAAGAAAAAAAAACCTTTGGGTTTGCAAGGTTGAAACAAGTTCTTTAATAAGCTTCTCCCTTCACAAAGCAGATTAAATAGAGCATATCATTCCAATAATCATAGAGTATTAGACTCTTAATTTCAAAATTCAAATCTTGATAATTTGAAGTAAAACCAAAAAAAAAAAGCATACCATACATTATTAATAAATTAGAGGGTTGCCTATATACTATTTTAAAATAATTAATAAGGTAATATGATGAATAAAAAGATTAATATCTAATAAAAAATGAAAATGATTTTTTAAGAAATTAAGATTATGAATTTTATTTAATTGTAATTATAACAATTAAAAATTGAAAATAAATTAATAAAATGATATTTTCTCAAAATATTTGTCATCCAATTTGTCTAAATTAATTTAAGTAAACATTTTTTTTTTAATTTTCAATGATTTGATAAACATAATTGAGGAAAAAAATGGAACATAAATTTATTCAAACAATACTTTGCAACGCCGTTGTCAAACTATGGCTTAAACAAGTCTTTGGTTTTACCACAACCATAATTGGCCTTAGGTATATTTCCCACCTGTTCCATTCCAGATTCAAAAACAACTAACATCCCAAGCAAGAGATGGGCTTCAATGTGGCAATGAAAAAGCCATACACCTGGATTATCTGCTTGAAACCTCAAGGCAGTCCATCCATAAGGATGAAGAGGCACTGTATTCTTCATAATTGGATCAACCAAATTGTACTTTTCAATGTCCCTGGACAAGTTGAATTTCCCTTCCCCATAGCCCAGGACCCAAAAATCATGCCCATGTAGATGCCAGGGATGTGCCTCACTAACATTTGCTGTCATAGAATTTGCATTTTGCAATATAATATCCACTGTTGAGTTGAATTGCAGCCTGTAAATGGATGTGCTAGAATTGGCATTTGTGTTGTTTGCAACACTGTATATGTCAAAATTTGCAGAGTCATAATCTTCTGGTGGTGGGTTTGGATCAAAAACATCAGTCATATTTTCCTTCAAGGCAATAAGGTAAGGGGTAGTTGGAAGGGAATGTGAGACATTGTTTAAGGACCAACGGACGTAACCATCTATTTTGTTTTGCGTGTTGAGGAGTACAATGACTCTGTCTGGTTTTTTCGGAGGCTTCACAATGATTCCTTGGCGAGCTTTAATGGCCAAACTTTGATTGATTTGCAACTGTGTGTCATTCCAAAGGGGTACTGGTGGTGGATTTGTTGGGGGAAGTTTTAGAAAATGGTTAGGATAGTAATTGAAGATGGCTAAGCCATTTGGTGTTTTAGGTTTTCGACTAACTACATTTATGCTGGTCCAGTAATTCCTGGATGGATCTTGATTTGCTGTTACCAGGACGGAATATGTCTCCCCAGAGTAAATAAACAGGTTCTTAGTGACGAAAGGCTCGACGTATTGCCCATCAGCTTCAACAACTGTCATCTCATGGTCCTGAGATTTCAAAACGGGGAAAATGTTTCAAGCACACTTTCTACTTAAAAACTTTGTATATTGAGTTAGAGGCATCAGTATACCTCAATTTGAAAGCTGAGAGATGATAAAGATGTCAAGCTAGCAAGCCGTAGTCGATAGGTTTTGCCAGAAATTACAGTCAGTGAGGATGGAGAACATTGAGGATTTGTCGAATTACAAACACTGGGTGCTAAGCCAGAACAATTGTAATTCCCTCTTCCACTTATCAATAGTGACTGAAATGAGATATAACATATACAAAAGTACAGTTCAGAAAACTCGTTATACTTGAAGCTAAAATATATAGGAATATTTACCTGAGGCTCGCCAATCCAATCAAAAGGTATGGAAGACAAGCCAGTTGATTGCTCATAAGCTGTTCTATGGTACCAATCGCTGAGAATAATCCCTCGATCGAGATCATAGTTGAAGGGCTCTGAGACCCCAACTGGAAGTGAAACATTAATCATTCCATATAAACCAGATTCTCTTTGCATTCCATAATGTGAATGGTACATATATGTCCCCGGCTAATGTCAAGCAAATAGAAAGATCTTTTTAGCTTTAACAACATTAAAATTAAAGAGTAACAGCTGGTTCAAAGAAGCTAGAAAACAAAGCTTGAATGCATAGATGTTAGTTAAGGCTTCTAGTTATTACCCTGTCAACCACAAATGTATAACTATAGGTCTCCCCTGGCATGATTGCACATTGAGTAACACCATCTGTTCCATCACTCCAAGGTGTTCCACGCTGTTTTCAATAGCTCAACAAGTTAGAAAATGCAATGATTCTATAGCAAACTTGGTACTTGGAAATGGAATATATATATGCTTATCATCATATCTTATTGACCAAATCTCTTAGAAAGAAGAAAGGGTGATTCGATAGCAATACCTGCCGGATTCCATGCCAATGGATTGCGACATTTTCCATCAGCAGATTGTTGATAACGTCGACAACGATTGTATCTCCTTGCACAGCAGAGATAGTTGGCCCTGGAGTCAACCCATTAATGGCAATAGCTAGTTTCTTGTAGCAATCAAGAGACTTATACTGGTAAGTCACCTCCCAGGTGTAATGGCGCTCTATAGCTGCAGCTGGGACAGTTATTAAGGACATGAAGATACATGCAACCAACAACATAATCATAATCCTTTCCCAATGTAAAATCCCAAACATGTTTTTGTTTAGATGTTTTGTTCTTAGAATTAACCTTTTAGGTCCCCTAAGAAATTGATGTTTTGATTCCTTACTTATTTGGAGTGTGAAATCAAGTCCATCTATATCCCTGCCTTAAGCATGGCACACATGTTTCTTTCCTTATACTAACAAATATTGTAAATACAAACTTCAACAAAAAGACAACTCAAGACATTAGCCATAATGAACCAAACTTATTTAACATTCAAGCTTTGCAAAAATACAAAATTAATTTTGTTTCGAGACCTGCATTTCTCTTTTAGATTATTGAGATATTTTTAAGGTTGGAAAATAGTTTTTTTTTTTAATTCTTAATCTATCATTAAACCTTCCTTATCATATTATTTACTTCGTTAAAAAGAATATTATTTGTATAAACTCTTTTAAACATATAATCTTTAAATGTCAACTGATTCAAAAGATAGTAGGTAGGTCAAAAAATGATTTAAAGCACTCTAAATCTAATTAATGACCAAAATATGAAATAGTTTCTTCTAACTTATCTAGATCTAAGAATTCAATTGTAATTTACACTTGCAAAAAGTTTTATGTTGAGCTAAAAAAAAAACTCCATTAAGATTTGAATTTTAAAATTAATGTAATTAATTATGTGATAGAACACGTAGATATGACTTATTAAATACATAGATTTATTTCAAATAGCACATTTATGCATATGAAATCTTTTAACATTGAAAATCATATGCCTTTTGTTATAATTTATATAATAAATTAAATTTTAAAAAAATACCAGGAAAAAAACAAAAACATGCCAGCTACCAAAAATAAACAGAAGTAATGACCAAAATGGTCAATAAAAACGGAGATTCAGTTGGTAGATATTGACCAAAATTGTCAATAACAAAAATAATATATATATATATATATATTTAATGACTTTTTTTTCTTTTCTTCTCTTGCGGGAAAAGGGATGTTTTTCCTTTGTTCAGAGTAAAGGTATATTTCACTTTTTATTTTATTTATTTTTCAACAAGAAGCAGACAGATGGATAAAAAAAACCTAGCAAATTACAAGTAGATTAAAACAAGTTACCAAAGAAAAGGCATATATACTTGGAAAAAGAATCGTATAAAATGATTATTTTACGTCAACATATATCATTTTCATTTAAATTATGTTATAGAATTATATTATTGAAAAAAAATCAGTTGTGAGTGTGTTCGGTGCAAATGGGATTGCATTGAACTTTTATATGTGCAAACATGTTTTTCTTGTATGAAAGGTGAATTTTATTTTCATTTAAGTTGATCTCATTTAAAGGTATCTATTGGACCAACTAAGTCAAATTGACACCTTTAAAAGGTAGGTTCGAGCCCAATTCATTCATGAAACTCATTTAAATTAATTTTATTGTTAAAATATTTTATATTAATATTTTTAAATTTATTTTAGAATGAACATTAAATAAAATTTTTTATTAATATAATAATATTTGATCCGAATTTAAACTTAAAAATCATGTAAAATCTGAGCATGATTGAGATATTTTTACTCATTTTGCTGAATATAACATTTATAATCTTTCTATACATTTTTCTTGAAAATTATTTTTATGCAAATATCCATATTGCATCTAACCGTCAACACAAAACTATATAGTATCATCATTCATGATAAGTTGCAAATAAAAATTAAATTTAAACTTTAAAAGTGAATATTAATGAGTATTAATTCAAATGATATGTATGTTGATTAGACTTTTAAAGATTATAAGTTTGAAAGAATTTAAATATATAATTTTTTAAATAAATTAAATAAATAAAGATTAGAGGGCTAACTTTAAAAGTGGATTGATGTTTTAAAATATAAAATAACTAATAAAAATATTCCTACATCTATTACTTTAAGTAAAGTACAAGGAATAATTAAAAAAAGTAGAAGAAGAAAGCTAAGCATATTAGACCTAAAAATCTTTTAATCATAATGGATTAATTATTACTCAAGTTTAATTTACTAATTACATATGGATCTATTTCACAATGTCATGTAGGCAAGACAAAAAAAAGTATAAAATTTAATTTATTAATCACTTTAATTGCTAAAAACTTAAAATTAAGTACCTAGTAACTATAAAAAAAACATTTAGATAAATATTTAAAAGCTTGGGTGGTGTGTAAAGATGTCAATGAGTTAGGTCAAGATGAATTTTTATTCGTTTTGAACTCGATTCGATTATATATATATATAATACTTGAAATTAATTTGATTTTTTCAAAAAATTTTTTCATACCTGAACCTAACTCGATTTAACATTATATAAAATCATATCTGATTCGAAATTAATAAAATATTAATTTTTAATATAAATATAAAATTAAATAAATAAAAATAAATAAATAATTAAATATATATATATTGGATCAGGTAAATTAAGTTTATCTAAAATTCGACCTTGAATTTTTTTTTTTTTAAAAAAAAATCAACTCTAAAAGATCAAGTCAGGTTAGACCTCGTGAGATACAAATCCAACTACCATCTCTAATGGAGTGTATAATTTATTCATTTTTTCAAATGCCATTAGTTTATTTTTTTCCTAAATTGCAAAAATTAACAAATCAATTTTCAAAAAAAAAAAAAAAAACATCATTTAGCCTGAACTATTATAATTTTTCTAATATGTTACCTAATTAAATTTTTTTTTAATTAGATATCTAAAGTTTAATTTCATTCGATCTTTTAATATTATTAGAATAATATTGATGTGATATTTAAATATTAACATAAATGATATATGATTATCATGTGATGGTGATATAATTATCACATGTTATTTTTAAAGAATAAAAAATAATAAAAAACTTTTTCCTAAAAATTAAATTTTAAATATATTTTTTTAAATGATATGTGAAAACCACATTTAGATTATGGGGCAGCAATGTGTCATCCATATTAGTATTTAAATGCTATTTTATCAATATTAAAGATTGAAGCAATTTAATAAATAAAAATATAATTTAGGTACTTAATTAAAAAATTTTTATTTTGATATCACGTTAAAAAATTTGTAATAGTTTGGGGCCAAATGTGATATTACACCAAAAAAGCAACAAACAACGAACAACTAAGTGCAAAGTGAAACCGAAGGACGAATAATTTCCTCTCATTTTCCTCATCGTCACCATGGACGAACCCTCCCCGACCGCTGACCCTCTAACGAACCAATTCGGATCTCTCAACGACCTAGCTCACGAGCTGGCCTCTCTCCAAGACCTCGCAACGCGCGGCTCCTGGCGTTCCATCCTCGATAAAGTTTCCCGAGCCCGTTCACTCAACCTCCTGAGCAACCCCCACGACCACCTCATCTACCTTTCCTACAACGTCCTTGCCCTCTCAAAACTACGCCGCTTCACCGACGCTTCAAACGAGCTTGACTCTCTCCACGACTTCAATAGCCACCATTACAAATACGAAACCTACCCTCAACTTTACCCGAGCCGCTCCGGTTCAATGGTCCCCTTCTCTCTCCGGTTCATCCACGCCCAACTCCCCATTAAGCTTGGGAATCGCCAAGAAGGGTTAGATCGGTTTTATCTTTTGCTTAATTTTGTTCGTCAGAGAATAAAAGAAAAAGAAAGTAATAGTTTACAAGAGTCTGTCAAAATTTGGAAAAAAAGGGAAAATTTTGTTTTAAATTGCTTGATTGGGCATCATTTGGGGGCTAAGGAATTCAATGTGTGTTTAGATTTAATTAAGGATTTGATCAATCATGATTATTTGGACCCAGTCCTAATTTCCAAATTAGGGTATATTCAAATGCAGATTGGGGATCTTGAAGGGGCAAAAGGGTCATTTAACCGTGTTGAGACGATGTTAAATGAAGGGAAGGATGACGGGTCTTCTTTCCTGGGTGAGGTTGAGTTTAGGAATCTTGTGAATAGAAACAAGGCCTTGGTTTATTTGGTGGGTAAAGATTATGTTTCTGCAGTGAGGGAATATGAGGAGTGTATCGAAAGGGATCACGCAGATATTGTGGCAATTAATAATAAGGCACTTTGTTTGATGTATTCGAGAGATTTGTCAGATTCGATCAAGGTATTGGAAAATGCACTGGAAAGGGTGCCTACAGTGGCGTTGAATGAGACTTTGGTGATCAATTTGTGTAGTATGTATGAGTTGGCATATGTTAATCACTCGGAGATTAAGAGGACTTTGAGTAATTGGATTGCCCGAGTTGCTCCTGATGATTTTGACGCATCCTGTACCAGGGTTTGAGGTATTCTTCGATTGACTTGTTAATCATTAGTATTTTGTTACATTGTCTTATTTCTTTTTAGGTTAAAATTGAGTTCCTGTAACTTTTTATCTAAATGATCATATTACTCAAGATATGTTGTGTTTATAGAATTATAGTGAATGCAATTCTATTTCGGTATTTCCAACTTGCCCTTTATGCAGTTTTTTTTTTTTTTTGCTTTCTTGTGTCCTATGATGTTATCATGGTTGAGGTGGCTTTTTTAGTGGCATTTATTGGCAAAGTATTTTGAAATCAAGATTTTGTTGGATGCAAACAAGCAAATTATTTGATTTCTAATGAATTGCACAAAATTTTATGGAATTCATTTTTCTGAACACTTTTAATGTCTCTTGATGTGGATAGAAAATTGTACTGCATTTGCTTGTTGAACTGCAGGATTCTGATTCGAGTCTATGCTTTTAATTTCATGGTTGCTAAGTGGATGGTATGCCTATATTGATTTGTGTAATGATTCAACCTGAAGTGAACTATTTTATCCATCAATATAATTGGCAAACTATCAAGTAGGTGATTTGTAGAAGCAGTGTTCATTTTCTATTTCTATTTCTATTTCTCCCTTATTCAGTTAACTGGTCTAAGAGGTTCCTTGAATATTAATGAAAATGTTTATCTAGAATTTCCTGCTATTTTGCACAAGTGGGATGAAATAATATATTAACTTTGTCTTTCTGTTTTATATCAATATAATATGGGTTTCAGCAAAAGTGTGTTCCATGCCTAGTTGTCATTATATGTCTATTCTAGAAGATGCTGTCTTATATTGTTACATGAGGTTGTGTTGAAACTTCTGTTACATCCATCATCTTTTTTTTAGTTCATAACAACAAACAACAGCCTAGTTTCTTAGACACCACCATTTGAGATACAATTTCTCCCTTGCATCCAAATCATCAGGTTATGATGCTATTTTCTTTCTCTGAAGTGTAATGATACATTTTAAGTGTTGGTATCAGGATACCGCATTTCAACCTATATTGCTGTTATAAGGTTTCTAATGGGCCATTTACCCTGCAACTACCAATCTGTTTTTAAAGAAATGTTTAGTGGGAGTAGAAAGTTGGTAGAAAGTGGGGACTAGAGAGCAAAGAGTGAGAAGTAGGAACTGGAATCAAATCTTCTAAATAGGTGTGAGAGAAGAAGCTTGTATGGGAGGTTTCTCATTGCCAGAAAGAGCCTCAAGTTTCATATATACATACTATTAGTATGAACACACTTAATGCAATCTATAAGAAGGGTTAGCTCACCCTGTATTAAGGACAATCATGATAAATTTTAGCAATTGGATGTTACTATAAGTTTATGTGGTAGAAGTTGGAGGTTGTGCCATCTGTGGAATATGATACATGAGATGCACTTATGAACTGTAGAGAAAGGCTAAGGGAAGAATTCTTAACTAACTCGATACCCAAGCCATCAAACAAAACTTCTGTAACATTCCAACCACATGGAGTTAACTGAAGTTTTTCTAATACTAGTCTTGGTATTGATGTCACATACACGTTTTATAACAACATAAGTTTTCGGCTACTTGTCTTCATATTGATGTCATATATAGATTAAAGGATGTTATCGGAAATTCAGAATAGTGGTTCAACTATAAACAGAAAGCTTTTAGAGGTAATAAATTTTGCATGCATAGTCTTAAGTGATTCTGAAATTTCTTCTCAATTATCCAGTTAACTTTCTTCAAATTCTGAGCTATTTTTTTCTAAGAAAATTTCTTCGTAACTTCTTTCTTTTGTGTCCTTCTCATTTCAACAATACTTTCTGTCATCAAAAGAAATTCATTTGATGTCCCTCCTGATCTGATGAATTGTCGAATTTCAGCAGATTTCGAGGACTAAAGACGCAGAGACTTGGTTCAGAGCAGGGGTTTGCTAGGTTCAACCTTTTGTCCTCTCGATTTTCTGCCTAGTTGGTTCAATTTATGGCAGCACCGAAGCCTGTAGAATTCATTCTCATGTATAGTACCTTATTTGTGGTTTCCTTTCTTTTATAAAAAGAGAATGCATAGTGATTTCTTCAACTTACCCAACCAACCCCTAAGTAGACAGACTCATTTTTTAAATTTAAGATTTTGTAACCTCTTGCATTTCGATGGAGCTTTGTAATGAAGGGGATATGCTACAAAAAAACGTTCTGATGGCTTTTTGACCAGGAATGTGAAAATGATGAATATTTGTGCTGTTGCTAGAATATCTGTTGATCCTAATTCAGGAATAAACCTAGTGTAGCTCAAGTTCTTGACAGATGAATGAAAAATGAAGAAGTTACCAATTACAACAAAAATCCCTGGCAATTTGGGGTTGATATAATCTATTGGTATTTCAAATTGAAAGGAAGATTGTAAAATTTGTTGGACTAATTAGATTTGTGGTGATAGTTTGGTAACTTTAACAAAGGGCGTATATTTCAAAAGAAAAAAAAGAACATAGAGCTTAATTTTGGGTTCAAGGTTTTAAGGTAGCACAAGTACAAGTCGATTTCTTTCAAATGATGTGACCGAGCAATCGAAAACAAATCAATTTGGTCAACCGTTTTATTTTGTAAAAGAGATCATGCACTGCATACCAACAACAAAAAGTGTGGTTGGCAGAGTGACGAGTGATGCTGGTGTTCCTCGTTCGGCACCAACCAGCAATGCAAAAATCCCAGTTGAAATTGGTACCAATCCCCTACCTCCCTGCCACCATTCACCAACATTTGGGCTTATAGAGTAAGGAAAGGACCACATTGGCCTTCGCTGGTCCCACTAGCATTACGCCAGGCCACCAACCCATCTACGCTTCTCACTCCACTCACCAGCATCGATGGAAATCTGAAGGTTCAGCTTTCAAAAGCCCAAAGCAGCTCATCTTCTAACATATTGAAAAATCCATTAAACACCTCCAGGCTTCAACAACCCCTGTATTTTCCTTTTTCCCACCAACCCCCTGCCTTTGTTTTTCATCCTTTCTTCGGACTACTTTTTTGGTTTGCTTTTAATTTATGTGACTGAGAAACAACAGGATCCAAGAGGCCAAAACCGGTGTTTTTGCTTTAATAATTAATTCTCTTCATCCAAATGGCAAATTCTCTTTGTACTTCAACAAGCATTTCCCGTGTTGGTTTTAGCTCCCAATTTCTGGGATCAAATTCCTCGTCAAAGGCTTACGTTTCCCTTTCTTTGCCTTCTTCTCATGCCAATCTCTCCGTCAAGTAAGTTTCTTTCCGGGTTTTTATTATTTCTGGCACTTTCTTTTTATTTGGTTCTTAGGGACAGATTTTGGGTTGTGATTGATTTTAACAAACTCTATAATCTATCTGTATAGTTCATTGAAGAAAACCCATAAATTTGTTTCTGGCATTAGTTGGATTTCTCTTAAGATTCATGGTAGTATTTGCCTTCTTTTTTTTTTTTTTACTTTCTTTGCTTCTTTGGCTTTAAAGATAAAGTTGCTGGCAACTAGATAGCCTGAGGTTTGAATTATGAAGGTGTCATGTCAACTTAGATTTGGTTCAGGATGTTTTTTCACATGCATTGCTTTCTCAAAATCCTTTGTCATAATATGATCAAATATTGAGCAATCCTTTTGAGAGATTGTTTGAGACCCTGTTGCTGCTGGTAATTAATATAGGATTTATTCTCTGCGAGATGTTAGTTTATACCCTTTCTTGAGTTATTTGCTTTTCAGCAGTTAAAAGGAATAGGTTGATAATACGTATGGACAAATTTGTATGGAAATGATTTCATGTAGTGTTGTCTTTTTTTGGAATTGTAAAAAGAAACATCCCTATTTTTTGTTTACTTCATTCATTCAACTGATTCATTGTAGTCGTAGAACTATTTAAGGAACTTCCATTTGTGGCACGATCACAAGCAATGCTGTCTATCAATTAATTTAAAGAGTAAAATTTCCAAAGGCCATACATATTCTGCAAGCATTTTTCATTTGCTTAATAGTTACAGAAAACTAGTCTCAAAGGTCTGAGTACTAAAATCTCCAAAAGGGAGTCCAGACATATTAGATAATGTCATTGTCTACTTGTATCTACTTCTTGGCAGATCTGTTGAGACTTCTAGACAACAGTCATGGAGAATCAGTGCAATGTCTAAGGCAGAGAATAGCAGCTTTGAGCAAGTGAAAGTTGATATCTCTCTGAGCCCCAGAGTTAACTCTGTGAAGCCTTCAAAGACAGTGGCTATAACTGATCATGCAACTGCTCTTGCACAAGCTGGTGTCCCTGTTATTCGATTGGCTGCCGGCGAGCCTGATTTTGATACACCAGCTGTTATAGCAGAGGTACCTTTCTTTTTATAATCCATTTTGGATGATCCCTGTTTCATTTTCTCTGATATAAGTTGTATCCTCTTTTAGTTATGAGTCTGTTGGCCTACTAAGAAGTATTTTAATTTATTTTATATTTTTTTCATTTTTGAAAAGTAAGGCTGGGATAAATGCAATTCGTGAAGGTTACACACGGTACACACCCAATGCAGGTACTATGGAACTTCGGGCGGCAATTTGTCATAAGCTAAAAGGTAAGAGTATAAGCTATGTAAGTGCTTTTCTGATTTAAGAAGTGTAAAGTTTTATGCTTGTTTACCTTTGATGTAGGATGAGGCTGAGTTTCTCATGTTTTTTCTAGTTCTTTTTACTTATTTCCTTTTAATTTGTTGCAGAGGAGAATGGAATCTCTTATACACCTGATCAAATTTTGGTCAGTAATGGTGCTAAGCAGAGTATCCTTCAAGCGGTTCTTGCAGTTTGTTCTCCTGGTGATGAGGTGAAGTTTGTCTATTTAACAATCTTTACCATAGAAAATGCTGGGAACATGCTTTAAGAAATCCTTCACCCCCTTTTCAAGCGGTTGTAGTCCTATATATTGAGTTGGGTATTTAGATCTTATTTACTTTTTCATTCATTGATTGCTTCTATCAGTATAATTTGCAGAATTAACCAAATTGAAATACCCCATCAAATTATGATTACATTTTCCTTTTACTATGGTTGTTTCTGTAAATCTATTAAATTGGTTAAAGAGGCAGGTCTCAAATAAGAGATTATTGATTTAACACTTTGCAGTGAAGGTCGGAGACCAAAATTCTCCATTGATTATGCTGTAAAAATTTTCAGTTACCCCATAGATATTAAACTTCAAGTTGCCAGTCTACCAATTTAGGCAATAAGAAATGCCATATGGATTTGAAACACCTGGCATGAAGCGATTAGAAAGATACCTCAACCATGTTCTCTTTCACAAAGCAAGTATTAGCCTATCTTTGTCAAGAATTTTGGGATAGAAAACCAAATGAATTAAAATAACTAAATAAAGAACAGAAAAAGGTAATTTGTAAATATTTTAATATTTTCCTGCATGCTAAGATGGTCATTTCCTCTTCGTGGTTAGATCTTCCTTCCAAATTTATATGTCTGCAAGGAACGTTCTTTAGGTAATCATAATCATGTTTCAGTGCTTTTAAGTAGAGTGATACAAGGTTACTTAATTGTGAGCGCATAATTTCTTTCAGGTCATAATTCCTGCTCCATTTTGGGTTAGTTACCCAGAAATGGCAAGGCTGGCTGATGCAACACCTGTTATTCTTCCGACACTCATCTCTGAAAATTTTCTATTGGATCCAAAGCTCCTTGAGTCTAAAATCACCGAAAAGTCAAGACTGTTGATTCTATGTTCTCCATCCAACCCAACTGGGTCTGTTTACCCTAAGAAACTGCTTGAAACAATTGCAGAAATTGTAGCAAAGCATCCCAGGCTTCTGGTACTATTACATATCCTGAACTCTCGTACATAGGTTATGCTGATATTCAAACACTGAGCTTTCTGTTATTGGCTTATTCAGGTTCTGTCTGATGAAATATACGAACATATAATTTATGCACCGGCAATTCACACGAGCTTTGCATCATTGCCAGGCATGTGGGAGCGGACTCTAACAGTCAATGGCTTTTCCAAGGTAAATCAATTGCCTTTAAACCTTGATTAAGTATTCGCCTCTAGTTAATTGATGAATTTTCCATGCTTAACTCTGGTGTAGTTCCTTTAGTGGTCATTTTGAGGATTGACATTTTTAAGGTGACACATGTAGGCTTTTGCAATGACTGGTTGGCGACTCGGATATATTGCCGGACCTAAGCACTTTGTTGCAGCATGTAATAAAATCCAGAGTCAGGTATGTTGCATCATACTCATCACTTTCATTTTCAATTGATCAAATTGCATCCAGCATGCATTAGTGCAGAATGCTATTGCATTGGCCTATAATAAGATATTTTTAAGGCTGTGAACTCTGGGAAGAACTTTTCTTGGAGATCAAATGAATTTTGTTGCTAGTCTGATATAGAGAATGATTACAAAATATGGCACTTTTTTTGGATTAGCTGTGTGGTATATTGAGGACTGCAGCTGCAGCCACTACTAATCTCTGACATATACCGGTGAAGTATCTGAATGTGCTTGCACTAACGTTATTTATTGGGGCTCATACCATTTTTGGGATTTATTTATTTATTTTTTTCATTTCTGAGTAACCTTCTTTGAAATTCCTATACTTGGACAAGCTAGTCAATATTTGTACTTTTGGTATTACGTCCTGGCCCTGAAGATGTTTAAACTAATCTTACCTACGTGAATTTTAATTTATTCCTTCATCATACTGAAAGTTAAGCTATTGCGGTAACTTTCAATGTTGTTCTCAAGACCGAACAATTTGGGATGTAGTTGTCAATTTCCTTGGTAATGCTCATTGTCTATTTTAGAACATGGCATGTGTGCGTTTATTTATGCATAAAAAGTTTACTGGCAGTAGTGAATCATCTCCAGTTAGCAGCTTTTTGAACCTCTGAATTCTGATACTTGTTCAAATTAGTCAATGTTCATACTTTTGATATTACTCCAAGCTGTTGAAGAGGTTTGAAACAAATTTTACCATACCCGCATTTTAATTTGGTTCATTCTCTTTGTACTTGAAGTTGAACCAATGGGGCAACAGTTAATGTGGTCCAACAAAATGAACAATGTAGGATGTGGTTGCAAATTTGCTTTGTGAGACTCATCGACTGTTATAACACCATGTACATTTATTCATACATGACAAGTTTGAATCACAGTATTTTGCATGATGATTGAAGCTGCGATTGGATGAACTTGTATGTAATTGTGATCGAGGAATTCAATAAAATACTGAACCATCTCTTGACCGAATGTTAGTGAATACTGAGTATCATTTTTTGACATTTATAATTTTAAGCTAGAAAGCAGTGAATGAATACAACATTTGAGCCAAATTAGGGTGGGCTGGAAATGTTATAGGATGTCATGGGAATAAGATTGTTGAACTGTGCTTGAAAAAATGAAATTGCTTGTGATTGGAAAGACTCAAAACTGATGCCATTAACTAACATAATCCCGAAATGTTTATCTTGGTTTGCAATTGTTGAAGGAAAGAAAAACAATGATTATTAAAGGAGTAAGCTTGAGTTAACTGTGCTAGATGGGCGCTTCTAAACTTTTGCTATGCCTTACCAAATGAAACTGATAAGTTAAGAAGGATTCATATTGCTGATCCCTTATAGTTAAGGCAGTGGAAGACCAATGTGTCAATTAGCTCCAATAGGTTGATGTATCTATTAGTGACTTGTGTATATCATACATATCAACACATTAATCACTTTGTTAGATGTGTAGTTTCGTTAGTGTAATCGATGTACTGCTAATGAAACCTCTCTTTGGCTTTTATATTTTTCAGGCCACTTCAGGAGCTAGTAGTATATCACAAAAAGCAGGAGTTGCTGCCTTGGGTCTGGGCTATGCTGGTGGGGAAGCAGTTTCCACCATGGTGAAAGCATTCAGGGAACGGCGGGATTTCTTGGTTAAAAGCTTCAGGGAATTGGAAGGTGTTAAGATATCAGAACCTCAGGTACCAGTATTGGTGTAAAATCATTTATTGGGTAAACTTAAACCCAATTTATTTACAAAAAACCTCGTTTATGCACTTCTCATTTTCTTTAATGTTTTGATATTTTAACTTTTCAAGTAACATACATCTTGCTAGCACTACTTCTGGCTTGCAGGGTGCTTTCTATCTCTTCATTGATTTCAGTTCTTACTATGGAATAGAAGCTGAAGGTTTTGGTAAAATTGAAAATTCAGAGTCACTTTGTCGATACCTCCTGGACAAGGCTCAGGTATGCTTCATTGAGTGCTGTTTCAGAACTCTTCCTTCTTTTCAAAAGTAAATGAGTAAGGGCTAGGTTATGTGTTTCATCAATATTTTTGGAGTGCCTAAATATTCTGTTTAACATTGAAGATCAAACATCAAATATTGCTTCTAATGATTGACAGGTTGCACTAGTTCCTGGAGATGCATTTGGGGACGATAGCTGCATTCGCATATCATATGCAGCATCCCTCACCACCTTACAAGCTGCTTTTGAGAGAATTAAAAAAGCACTCGTCTCCCCGAGGCCAGCTGTTCCTGTTTAACACTGATGAATAATCATGCAGCATGTTGTAATTGTTGTACCTTATTTGGGGATTTGAAATTTTTTTTTTTAATAAGTTTTCTGAAGAAAATTCTGGGTTTTCTAGGTTCATTTGTTCTCCCATAATTGTCTCGCATTCTAGGAAATAGGACTTCATGCTCATGTGTCTGGAGCTCGAATGCACGAGTGTAACTGTGTACGCTTGAAATGAAACGCAAAACGGATATTCATTTTGAGTCCGATATTCTGGCCCAATTGATATTAAGGTCTCGTTTACGTGGGCTTCTTAACCTAGTTCTTTGTCTTGAACAGAATATATAATGGCCTACTGCAACACAAATATCTAAAAGGAATAGCCTCTTGGATTGCTGCCATGTCCCATTCATTTGTTTTTTTGGTTTTATTTGTGCATTATTTTTTGAAAATTTAAAAAGAAGAAAAAACAAATGAACATGGTTTTGCATATAAGAAAAGAAAGCAAGAAATGAACGTTGTTTGCATGTTGACAATAATTTCAGTTCATGTTTGTGGAAGACCCTTCACGACAAGTCAAAGCGTTCCCATTTTGTTGTTCATGTTTCATTTGCTTTCACGTGTTATCAAAAACAATAATTTTAAAATGGTATGATTACTTTCCAAATTATATGCTTCTTATAATTCCCCAGTCCTGAGATCAGAATATTCCCAAGGAATATTTCTTTCTAGGGTAACCAGATCTAGCACTCCAAGGAATCAATTCCTTTTCCTAACGAGCTTGCTTCATCTGTTCCAACATAAATCATATATCTTAGCTATATTAAGTCATTCAATCGGAGAGGAAAGCTGGAACTTGTCCCGAAGGTTTTCGAGGTTTCTGCTCCAGATGGTAACATAATAATTAAGGAAAAGGATTGCCCTTTTTAGCAGTAGTATTCCTGCCTAACTGGAATTTCCTTGCATAAGGCAAGTCTAATAGAAAGCTAAGATACCCTTTATCCAATGCCTGAAACTATTGACTTGAACTACAAGACAATCAATCTCTAATGCCAAGAATTCTCTTCTTCCACCCATGCATTACCTTACTTTCTTTCCCATCTTCCTTCCCCATATATACCATGATTACAATGTCAATGAACATTACAAAAAAACTTTAACCAAAAACTGGTAACTTGAAATGGAAGCTTTTATTCCATGCAAAAAAGGGTCAGCAGAAATTGTGTTTTTTGACTTAGAAACTACAGTACCCAACAGAGCCGGCCAAAGGTTCTGGATATTGGAGTTTGGTGCAATTGTGGTTTGTCCAAGGAAGCTTATTGAGCTGAAGAGTTTTAGTACCCTGATAAGGCCAAAGGAGTTGTCTGCTGTACCATTGAGGTCCAGTCGATGTGATGGGATAACTAGAGAAGCTGTTGCAAATGCACCTGAATTTGAGGAAGTTGCTGACAAAATATTCAGCCTTTTGAATGGCAGGATTTGGGCGGGCCATAACATTCAGAGATTCGACTGTGTCCGCATTAAGGAGGCCTTTGCTGAGATTGGTAGGCCTGCTCCTGTATCTGTTGGGACCATTGATTCTTTAGGAGTCCTAACTGAGAAGTTTGGCAGAAGAGCCGGAAATATGAAGGTAAAATTCAAATCAACCTCGTTATTTATATAAAGAATAATCCATGGCTCTTATGATCAGAAATTCAGACAATTCTGAAACATAATAAAACCTTATTTACACCCCGGAAGTTCAATTTCTTTGAGGTTAACTTTGAATATTCTATCCTATAATGTTTAAAATTTATGTCCTGATCTAATTACCCTTCATGCAGATGGCAAGCTTAGCTGCTTACTTCGGGCTTGGGCAGCAAAAACACAGGTATGGGAATGTTATGTGTGTTAGTTGAACAAATGAGAAAAGAAAAGAACATAATCATGGTTTTGAATTATGTCCTTAAACAGGAGCCTGGATGATGTTCGAATGAATTTGGAGGTTGTAAAGCATTGTGCAACCGTGCTCTTTTTGGTATGTCCTGAAACATTCAATAATGAATTCCAACACCCATTTTCAACTTTTATCTAGAAATCTCTGTTTCAGAATAATAAAATGAAACAACATAAATAATGTTTAAGGCTTTGAGTTTCTATATATGATGTTAGGAATCAAGCCTCCCGAGCATATTGAATGGCAATTGGCACAAATCCCCCACAATAACGACACGAAGTAGAAGCAGCAGTACAGGAAAATTGACATGCAGGGAAGAAACCAGCAGGAAATCTCCTCCAACTTCTATTGGATATCAAAGAACAGTGCCCTACACAAGGGGAAGTTTGGGAAAGGTTTTCCTACAATTCATAGCTATATATCTTAATTACATGCCGATTTTTCAATAATTAATTACGCATGATTTGTTATTGGTAAATGGCAACTAACAAGGAAAATGAACTTATAATGAAGCAGATGACAGAAAGAGTGAAGAATCTTTTGCTTAAGGCCCAAGGAAGCCAGCCTCTTAACAACTTTCTCAAGCTTTCTCATTCATTGCTCAGATGAGATCAGGATTCAGAAATGAAGGCAATTTCACTAGAGGAAGAACAGAGATATAAAAGGAGAGATTGCAAAATGAATTGGAATTAATGTTCAATGTGTTTCCGATTGACAAGAATCCCTGTAAAGGGTTCCCTTCAATGAGAGCATGGCATGCAGGCTTAAGAGGCTCTTTCCCTGCTTATTAATTTGATGAATTATCTAAAAAATTATGCCAATTTGGGACACCTTTTTTGTGGACTATTCATAGGTATTTTAAAAAAATTATTAATAAATAACAAATATCAATTAAACAAAATCTTAATAAATTATTTTTTGACTTCAAGAATAAATGATTGTGCAAAATTTTATTAATCCTTTGACTTTAAAAAGACTTCACTAAACTTCTTTATTTTTTAACATTATCTAACAAGATGAATATATTTAAATCAAAATGTTATGTAAGTGGATGGAAGATACAATGAATCTAGACACCCTTTCCATTAGTATATCATATCCTATCAAACAGACAAAACCACATTAATTGTTTATCTGAATTGCGTCTAAACTTCATAAATAGAGTAGCATAGTCACTAATGCACTTTAGGTTAAAATTTTTTATATGTCAGTAGGAATATTATATATTGTTACATGTCATGTAACTCATGGTTGGTGATTTACCTACATATTTGTTTTTTTTTTTTTAACAAAAGTGTCAAGTTTTCAAATAAGGGTTAAAATTATGAAATTACAAGAAAAAAATAACGGTTAAAGGCAAAAATAAGGGGGTATTTTTTAAGTAAAGGATGTTTTTTATGTTTGTACTCCAACGATAAAAATCAGATTGACACAAAAGAAGTCAGAAGGAGATAAAAATAAGAATATATAAAATTGATGATAATATCTATACATTTTTATTTATAAATGAGAGATGAAAGGTTTGCGAGATAAAATGATAATATAATCGAGTGATGTGATATTAAATATGTGAGATCGGTTTAAAAATTTAAAATATCCCTAGTTGTATGCTAATGATCTTTAACGAGAGGAATGACCAAAGTATTTTTTGGATAAAAAAAATACTTTTAATAAAAACAAAAAAAAATAATAGGTTAATTATGCTTATCTTATATGAAAATATAATACTCTCTCTATCTTATTTTTTTGTTCATAATTTTTGGAAAAGTCCCAAAATTATGTATTTTTTTAACATCTAAATTTTTTTTATAGTTTAAAATTATTTTTTATGATTTTTTTACTTTTGAACATTAAAAATTATAAAATTTTAATTTTATAAAAAAATAAATTTAATTTTAAATACTTTTAAATTATATATATTTTAAAATTTTATAAAAATTAATATATAACAAATATTTTGACACGAAAAAATTACATACTTAGCAGAGCAAATATACCAAAACTAAATTGAAGTGAGGCTAACTTTTTTGGTATGCTTATTTGGTAGCATTGAGATACAATGAATGTGGACATGTTTTGATGTTGGTGTAATGGATAAAAAAGGTAATCAATGGACTTTCCCATTGGCCTCTCCAAGGCGAATGGGAGTGATCATAATTTAGCACTACTGACAGCTACATTCCCATTTCATCTAATTGTTTATTCTTAATTACTCTTTTGGAGTGAAATTGATCCAAGTGACTTTCCACTAAGTACCAACTAAGTTTGTAACATTGAACCTAGACACATTTCCGAATATTGGAAATAGACCTCCACAATTTGTGTTGAAGTATAAAATATTAAAAGTTGTATTGACAAATACGAATATTATCTGATTCATTAAATAAATGTCAAGATATTAAATATATTTCATATTATTATTAAATAAATTTATTTAATAAATTATCCTTATATAAATACTATAATACTATCATAATATTATAAATCATCATTTTAAATAATTAAATATTTTAAATTTAAGGATATTTATTTGTAAAAAATTTTAGAGTAAATTACATAATTAACCACTTAAATATAAGAATCATTTTAAAACGAGTATTAATTTTTTTTTTAATTTCATCACTAAAATTTGAATTAGTATTTTTTTTGTCACTAAATCGATAAATCCTAACATTTATCTGATGTGGCTTGATACATCAAAAATGGTAAATTGTAACTCAAACCTTTTTTCTTACATTAATTTAGGGTTAAAAATTACAATTTTTTTTAATTTCTTTTCCCCTTCCTCGTTTCTTTCCCTATTCTTTCTTGTTCATTCCATCTTTTTTTTGTTTCTTCTTCTTTGTTTCTTTTCCTCTTTTCAAGGATGAAAAACCCTAATGTGATTTTATGCAGTTGGTTTACTTGCTTTCTCTTATGTTTGTGCAAAAAGAGACAAACTTTAAAAAAAAAAAAAAAAAGGAAGGAGTTTTGAAAGTTTAATAAAACAAAGTTTGTATAATTTGAACAAACACATGTATTCCTGTGAGAAAGGAAAGTTTCAAGATTAAAACTTAGTTTTACTCGAGAATTACTAAAATTTTAGGGGGAATTCTGCTTTATCACTTAAATTTTCCTAACTGCATCATCAGTCAACTTTTTCTGTAGTTCTCTCATGCATGTTGGATGAATGTCTATTTTATGCACTTGAATCTGAGATAACCCTCATTCTCTTTTTATTTGTTTTATGATGTGTAAAAAAACACTTTATATAAACGATAGGATTTAATAGTTTAGTTACCTAAAAAAATAGTAATTCAAACGTTAGTGATGAAATTAAAAAAAATAATATTTTAAATAACCATTTTAAAATTATCCCTATAGTTAAGTGACTATTTATAGTATAGTAATAGTATGTAATATTTATACACCAATAATGTATCATATATAAATTTTTTTTAAATATGTATGTTAATTTTTTTTACAAAAATTATCGTAAATTGAAAATAGAAGAATATGTATATATTAAAATTTGAATTTCAAACGCGTTGAATAATATTTTGAGAGTGATTATAAGAAATAATTGAGTTAAATTTTAAATTAACATATATGAATACTCTAATTAAATATGTAACAAAATAGGTCTAATACAATTAACACATTATTAAACAAATTGAGATAAATTTTATATGATAATGCAATTAACTTATTTAATTTTTTTTTTTGAAATTACAAATAACTTTTTGTTATAATTATTCTTAATGGCAAATTAAATCAGATTTTTTAAATCATAGCCATGAAACAAAATTAAGATAATCTTTAAGGTGATTAATCACAAATGATCAGATATGTAAGAACAGGAATTTATAATCTTTATACATAATTTTTTTTTCTTTTTTCACATGCAAATTAGAACTGGAAATATGCTGTTCGCACTTTATTTCTTCATTGAGTTCAAGACTCTTCATTATCATCAGTCCCATTTGCTAGCCACAAATGGATGTAGTACGGGACAATATTAACATACACACCAAGGGACAAGCAAGCCATACTTTGATATTGAAAAGCTTCAACACTGATTTTTTTTTTTTTTTTAAAGCTGGGATCTTGTCTAGAGAGAAAACGAATCAATAGCTTCTGCAACGCTCAAGTAGAACTTTCCTCCAATTTTACCCACAAATTTAGCCAGCTTCAACTTGTGAATCACTTGCCACCTAGGGTTTGCAATGGCCAGCTGCGATGAAATTAATATTCAAAGGAAGGGTTAAATCTGACAGAACCAACTTAAATGCACGCAAATGCAATAGCTCAAAAAAGAAGAATTAACATTGCCTTGATTTACCTTCATTCCATTTGAATCAAGATTCTTATGCAGTTCTTCCAGAGAAGCAATTCCTGATGTATCAATGTCTATCAAATCTACCACTCAAAAAAAAGGAAAACAAGTTTCTATTATGATCAGGAAAAGTAAAAGAAGAATATTCAATAATCTCTTTAAGAAAATTTCTAACTCTTACTGGAAATGTCAAGAATTACTAGTTGAATGGTCTTTTCAGCATTTTCCTCTTCAATAACCCATTTCATAATCCTGAAAAAAAACAAATTATAACCTCAAATAATCTTTTGTTTCATTGTTATCTTGATATTTCTTGCATGTCTTCAAGCGTTTTAATCTTTGTTTGTGTGGGTTTAACTCTTCGGTACCTTTCTTTACCAAAATTGGCGTTTGCAAAACAAAGTAAAGCAGTCTTGAGACGCATTATTAAGACGCCTGGAGTCTTCACAGCCATAGGATATTGATTGACATCACCAAACATATCACTTCCAGGAATTCTTCCAAGGGTTTCAGTGCCTGGTCTGATTGATATGAGAATTATCTTTGCAAATGAAATTGTTACCTGCAACCATGCACATATATAGCATTAGAACTTAAGCAGTAAATGCATTGTTTTTTTGAGTTTGATTTGGAGAATATCTTTTAGAATGCCAGAAACTGTATTTGAACAGCACACAGATGCTCCTTTTCATGAATCAAAAAGGTGAAAAGCATTGCCAAAAGTTCACATTTTACAATTTAGGTATCTATAGTACTATTCCTTCTGTTGCAGCTGTAGTGCATGCGTAAATAACATACCAATTATGGCAAATGCAGTGGGGTATATGCATAATCTTTTTCAAGGCTTCAACAGCATACATGTCAAAGTCAAAGTAAAGCTCACTAATGCTCTATATGACCCCAAACCCCTGTTGAGACCTTTTCACTTTGAGGCAAATTTTCGAGAAATGCTCTCTTTTTTGTGAAGCACATGCGTCAACTACCTATATTGGAGATGACAAACGACTGTTTGACAGTTATCAAATAAATTCCAATGAAAAAACTGTCAGCAATAGGTTTTATTAATCCCTTGAAGATCTTAACATATTTAACATAATTACAAAAATTTTCATCTAAACAGATAATTGAGTCCATCTTAATTAGTTATAAGGGTGAAAATAAATGTTACCGCCACAAGAAGACCAATCTCCACTGTTGCAAATAACACCCCTAGAAAGGCTCCAATGCAAGCAAGGAAGTCTAGCTTATCAACCTTCCAAATATTGTAAGCTTCATTGAGATCGATAAGCCCTGGAAGAGCAGAGAGAATAATTGAAGAAAGGATTGCGATTGGAGTGTAGTACAAGAGCTTTGTGAACAATTCCAAGGATATGAACACTGTAATAGCCATCACAATATTTGACACTGTAGTTTCACAACCGGCACTGAAATTCACAGCTGTCCGCGAGAAAGAACCTGCAATATTTTGCTAATGAGAGGTTGCTGATGAACAGCTTCTTGTTAAAATAGAAGCTCATGCTACTAGAAATCTGAAGATGGATGATATAATTAATAGAGATTAATTACCAGTTGCAACATAGCAAGAAGTGAAAGAACCTATGATGTTCATGAACCCCATGGCAACCATTTCTTTGTTTCCATCAAGATGGTACCCCTTTACGGCTGCAAAAGATCGACCAACTGCAAATGCTTCCTAAGATTGACAGATTAGAAAGTAAATTATAGATGTTGAGTGGTATACTTCAATTGAAAAACATGATTTCCAACACCAACCGTGAGTGCAATAATAGCAACAATCAGCCCAATCTTGGCCACTTCTCCAACATGTGGCCCGTTGAACTGCAGCTGGTGCACTGAACTCGGATTTAAGCCTCCTTTGATGTGTTTTACTGTCTTAACTCCATGCTTATCAGCTTTGGTTAGGAAAACAATAAGAGTTGCCAAAATGACAGATATTAGGGGAGCAATAGCTGGCAACCAGTAGAGTTTTCTGTTCCTTCTACCCTGATAGAATTAGAAAGTAGAAAATCATTTAAAGATAATCTGTGAAGATACAGCTCTTCAATAGACCAATGGTAAAAACAAATTGTTAATTATCACAAATAGTTCTTACCAGAAATCTTGTGATTTGGATGAAAATTAGGAATGAAAATCCGAGAACAAAGTTATGAGCATTCCACTGTAGAGTGCAGAAAAAAGATAGAATTAATCTGGAAATTAGTTTTAACAATTTCAAAATCTCAGCAGACAAGTAGTAATGTATATATTAAAATATAGTACTAAAAGAAAAAGAAAGTAATAAGCAGTACAGGATGATGGAAGGAACTCCACACGGCTTTCATGACAGAGATAACATCAGTCTTGTTTGTGAAGTGAGTGATTCCTAGTAGTCCCTTGAGTTGTTGAAGACCAATGACAATGGCAGCGCCTGCCATGAATCCGACAATTGCAGCATGTGATAGAAAATCCACAAGGAAACCTGACCTGTAAAATCTCGAAGGGGAAAGAAAACCAGAATGCTCAAATATCCATGAAATCTATTAGAAAGGAAAAAGAGGGGGAAAATGAAGAAGAAATGCCAAGAAAGGGACATACCTGAATAGTCCAAGGGCAGCTTGAAAGGTACCCGCAAAGAAAGTTGCAGTGAGCACAAGCCTTTTATAAGCAATCGGATTAGCAACAGGATCCTGAAGTTCCAGTACCATTGAGGATATAAGTAGTGAAATCACAGAAACTGGTCCAATTGCTATCTCTCTTGAAGTTCCCATCACAGCGTAAATGAGAGGTGGGACAACACTCGTGTCTAAGTAGAAGGGCGAGAATCATTCACATAATATCTAGAATTCAGACGATAAAAGAATAAACAAAAATTCAACTAGGCAGCTTACAGAGGCCATATTGAGGATCAAGCTTCGCCAAAGTTGCATATCCAATACTCTGTATGACCATGAGATCATGGCACAAATGGCAAGATGATATCAGAAAGAGAAGGGGAAATGAACTAAAATTTTGATGATATAATTAGGACCTTCTTAGAGAAAGTGACTATTGTAGCCTCATTAATCTAAAAAGGACCCTTTCATTGAATATTTTTGTAGATTATAACTAAAAATAAGTGCAAAGTTTATGCAAAATCAATTGAGATGTTAGTATTTCAACTAAACTACTATTGCTAGAATGATCATAATTCGAACCTTAAAACTCCAGCTTACTTGAGGAATGCAGAGGCTAGCAAGAGTTAGACCTGCCAATAGATCATGCTTAAATTTTGTTGCATTGTAGTTCTGACACCAAGAAAGGATGGGAAATGTTGCTTGCAACATTGAAAACAGTTCAACTTTCCATCCCGACTGCTTGTTAAGGAAAGGTATTTTGTTTCTCCAAGAAAAAGCACTTTCCATGAGCTCATGGCCTAACCCTGGTGGATTGGGGGTATTAAGCACCCACTGGACCCTATCAACACAGTCAAGTTTCTCAAGGTCCAGCACTTCCTGATCTGCTATGGTATCAGCAGTGAGAGGGGAAGTCATGGTTTTGTTTGAAGTGGTTGGGGGAACTCAAGGAGTTCTCTCCAGGGAACTCGAAATGCTCTCTCTCACTCAGGAATTCAGAAGTAGCTTTAGCGTATAAGAGAAAGGAATCATACCAAAATGAATGGAGCATGATAGGACATTCATTTATATACATCAAAGGAAGTAAGAAATTAACCGGTACAGGAATTTTAAACAAAGAAGAGAACGAAGATCACTGGTCTATAACATTAGTGGAGAAACCAATACATCACGTACTAATCAACAAGAAGTATATCGAACTGAATGTATGTGTGTACATTAGCTAAACAGCAACTTATCATTGAAGGACAAAAGAGCTACAACCATATTTCTACTGTCATACAAAATAGATTCGTAAATCTATAGCTAGACTTAACAAATGAATGAAGTCACCATCAATCTTTTTTATTAGGTGTAATTGACCACCTAAGGAATCTATCTTCTTAAGGAGCTCCTAAGCTTGACTAAGAGTCCCTAAAAGAATAGGTTCGGGTCTACTAACCAAAACAGAATTCGAGAGTTTGGTTACATGTGGGGAAGGTTATAGCACCCCCACATGCTCATTGAAGGATGGTACCATATTGTTTTAAATTTATCCTAAGGTCTTGAGTCTAATAGTTTTAAATTTTTATGTTAAAATATTAAAAATAATTCTTAAGACTCTCCATCAATTTAGTAGAATTCTTAAAAATATTTTCTCACCTCAAGAGTATTCAAAGATCTCATTTGTTTCCTTGAAGAGGCTCCGTTGTCGAAAAGAGGTTTATTTATTATTTTTTATAAAAAATATATCTAATTATTCCATCATTTGGATCAAATTAAAAATATTTTTTCTTTTTGAATTTTTAAATTTTTCACCATTTGGTCCTACTTAGAAAATTTTTTTTTATCTCTAAATTTTCCATAATTTGGGTCAATTTATAAATATTTTTTTTCTGAAATTTTTAAAATTTTTCATTATTTGAGCCTATTTAGAAATTTATTTTTTATTATTTTTGGAAAGAAAATAATATGAAAATTATTTTTATTGAAATTTCATCTAAATTATTCTACAATTTGGAACAAATTTAGAGAAAATTTCTCACCTAGAGATTTCTTAGGAATTTACCATTTGAAATTTTTAGGAATCTCATCCTTGGATAATTATCAAATATTTTCAAACCAAAATTTTTATTTGAAAAAGAATACAATTACTTTTATTGAAATTTCATCTAAATTATTCCACCATTTGGAATAAATTTGGATAAAATTTCTCACCTAAAGATTTCTTAGGAATTTACCATTTGAAATTTCTAAGAATCTCATCCTTGGATAATTATCAAATATTTTCAATCAAAATTTTTATTTGAAAAAGAATACAATTACTTTTATTGAAATTTCATCTAAATTATTCCACAATTTGGGATAAATTTGGATAAAATTTCTCACCTAAAGATTTCTTAGGAATTTACCATTTGAAATTTCTAAGAATCTCATCCTTGGATAATTTGTATTTAATTTCAAAATTTAATTTTTATTTTTTTGGTTTGAGAATAAATATAAATTATTGTTATTGAAACTTTATTTAAATTATTTCACCATTTGAGATAAATTTAGATAGAATTTCTCACCTAAGAATTTTATAGAAATTTACCATTTGAAATTTCTATAAATTTCATCATTGAATAATTAATATTTATTCTCAAAATTTATTTTATATTTTATATTTTTTTCTAAATTTAATCATGAAAGAAAAAGAAAAAAAATACTAAGAAAAAATTAATAAAAAATACTAAATAAAATAATTAAAAAAAACTAAAAAATGGCTTGACTGGCGGTTGAAATTTGGCTCAACTACAGGCGCAGAAACGACTCGAAACGAGGTTCAGGGGTGTGGCTCGGCTCTGCTTAGCAATGAGATTCAGTTGGGACGCGAGTCGCAGAAGTTGGTTGACGCGGGGGTCTAGTCACCCGATAAAAAACATGCGGATCTTGGGATGTATTTGGACTTAAAACGACATCGTTTTGAGGTGATATAAAAGGTAAATATTTTCGTTTTTCACCATATCCTTCCTTTCTCCCTCTTTCTCTTCTCCTATTTTCTCTCCTCTCTCTCTAAGAAAACTCAGAATTCGATTGAATGTTGTAGACACCGATTTTGTCTGGTCTACATTTTTTCTTTAGTAATAATAATAACAATTTTAATAATAATAATATTGGTTTAATTAAAATTAAAAAAAAAAGACAAACAGAAATGTCCAAACAAAAAAAAATAAAAACATAGGGGCTGGTGCCAGAGGGTGTCGTACATGGCACCACTGGCCGCCCACACCCTGCCCAGCCACCTACGCCATTGGCTAGCCATCATGCCATTACCCTAGCCATCATACCACCCTATTTTCCAATCCCTTCGCTAGGGCACTGTGGCTCCATTAGCACAACCTTACCACTGCCGTTTCCAGCCTTATAAAGCATTCATTTTCTTTCCCTTTCAAGGTTGCTATCGAATCCTCAGACAGATGCCCAAAACCCCAGCACTTGCGAAAACCCAAAAGTTTTCCCACATTGCCACCAAACTCACCCAACAGCACCGATCCCTTTTTACTTACACAAATACCTAAACAAAAAAATAAAAGCAAAAACAAACAGTCATCCCTGTAAGAAGGATCCTTAGTGCCAAAGCTCTCCTGCAACAAAGAAAAAAAATATTATCAGTTTGAGTTCTAAAGAAAAAAAAAAGAACATAAAAACTTTGAGCATCGATCTACATCGATTGGAGCTGTTTCTGATGAAAAAGAGGTCGAATTTAAGCTCAAGAGGTCGAAAGGAACCTTCTGGTGAATTTTGACATTTTTCGACCACCGGTGGCGACCTTAGGCTGCGGTCAGTGCGACGACCAACGTCAGATTCTGGCCAAGCCAGAGAAGATTTTTTGGAAGTTGGGGGATTTTTTTTCGGGTAGAAAGGAAAAATGATCGAAAATTTTTTTTTGGGCCTTTTATAGAAAAGGCATACGCCAAAACGATGTCGTTTCGATAAAACCCCAAAACAATGATGTTTAAGCCAAGAAGGATCCGAACGTGGATCCCGATTCGACCCAAGGTCTGCACAACCGACCTGCCAATCCGACTCCTCATACAGCTTTAAACCGGTTTGATTAGATCAGATCGAACCGTTCCCCATACAGTTCAATCAAACCGTGTGTCAAACCGACCTTCTTTCTATCCGACCAAATCGTCGTTGATTGAACTGTTGACCGGTCTGGTTCAGGTAAGAAAAAAAACTTTTTTTTTTAAATTTTAAATTTTTTTATATATTATTTTTTTTGTTATTTTGAGTATTTCTTTTATATTTATGCATGATAAAGTTTAAAATTTGTTAGAATAAATATTTGATTATTTTTAAAAATAACAAAATGAAAACAAATAGGATGATAACTAAAAAAAATATTAATAATAATCTAATAATAATAAAATATATATTTTTTCCATGCCTAGACGTTGGAAATAATAAAAATATATTTCTAAAAATAATTTCGTCTAGATGTTGGGGAATTATTATATAAAAAATTAATTAAAATATAAAAATATAAAAAGATATTAAATAATAAATTAATAATATCTTTTACAATAAACTTTCATTAAAAAATATGAAAAATTTTAATTAGTTTTCAAAATCATAAAAATCGAACTTGCTCCGAAAGTCTGTCTAGATGTTGAAGATTTTTAAAGATGTTCGTATTTTTTAAAAGAAATTAAAAAATCTAAACTTTAAACCCTCCAAACCTAAAATTCAAAACCTTAACCCTAAAATCCAAACCTTGAAATTCAAAACCCTAAAATCCAAACCCCAAAACTTTCAAAACCTAAACCCAAAATTTTAAAACCCTAAAAACCAGAACCTCATAAAATCCAAACCTTTAAATCCAATTCCTAAAATCAAAACCTTAAAATTCAAAATTCTAAAAACCCTAAATTCAGTATGCATTCTCGAATCATTACCAAAAAATCATTCAAACTTTAAAATCTCGACCCATACTCAGGTTAAAAACCATAAAAAAATCTTAAGAATACATGTAAAAATTTCACTTGTAGTAATTTGTTCTCGAATGCTGCCTAGAAGATGGGGTGTTTAAGAAACTTTATTTCATTAAGTTTTTCATACATGTCCTTAATTCGTCTTAATAATGGAATTAAAACTTTAATAAAAAGAATAATTGTAAATTGAGATCTTAAATATAAACAATCGCACCTAAGCTCTGCCTAGATGTTGGAGAGTCAAGGTGGTCTCATTATATTTAAGAATCTATTTAAATTGCATTTTATCATTTGGCATAATATCCATGGGCATACATGCATCACTATATTATTGTTGACACTCATTTCGTATTTCTCTGTCTTTAATTTTTATTTATTACTTGACAATTCCATTACTTACTTTTTCTTATAAAATGTTTTACAAGACAAAAATATATATTTTTAAAGTTATGATGTTATAAAATAAAAATAAAATAAAAATAACATTTTGAAAGAAATAATTCTTGGTATTCTGCCTAGATGTTAGAGAGTCACCAACAATTATCTTCTATAAGGAGTGTTATTTTTTATTTTAAGGAATATTGTGTTAAATCTTGAACGAAAAGAGTTATTTTAAATTCTACCTAGATGTTGAAGAATTTTAAGATAATTCTTTAACTTAAAGATTTCTTTAATATTCCTAAAAAAGAATTTTAACCAAAATTTATTTTTTTAAAGTGAAGGGAATTAGTGTTAAATTTCAAATTGAAACCATTTTTATCCAACACAAAAAATAGCGCATAATTAAATGGTACCAATTTATGGGCGTTATGAGGGTACTGATCTTTTCTCACATGTAACTGACTCCTGAACCCAACCTGATTTTTTGTAGACTGAAATTTATCTTTTTGATAAACTTTAAACCCGCTTTTGTAGTTTTATTAAAAAGATAAACTTTTGGGTGGTTAATCACACCCTAACAAAGATTGGTGACGACTCCTTTTTATTTTTTTCGATTATAAAACACTTTACGTATGATAGTCCCAAAACCGTTATAATAGCTTGACGACTCCACTAGGGACGTTTGAGAGTCAGGCCAAAATTTTAATTATGCGCTATTGATAACGATTGGATTTAATTGGTTTTATTTGATATTTAATTTAATTTTTTTATTTTATTTTTCAAAAATAT